TCTATTAAAGGTCCTTTAACTCGATTTTTATGGTTTTATATCATTAATATAACGCTTAAATGAAGATTTATCAATATTGTAAGTTCCAAAAAGCATTATTATTTGTAAAGATATTACCGAATTTCCATTTCATGTTAATTAAAAAATTATTTTCTATAAAGTCTATGTCAAGTTTTTCAATAAGAAATGAAACAGAATGCATATAATTTGGAGATTACATATAATGTGAACAAATATTTGCATTTTGCAGTGCATATTTAACATATTCTTCGATGCTTGAAACTTGTTTTAAATGCATAATTATATACATATATAAAATTCCACTTAAGTGTGGTAACAACCTTAATTACAACATACAGGATCTTTAACAAAGAGACTGTGTTGCACTTATCATTTTTTTCTAATATCAAAATTGAGCATAAACTAGGTGTTGATTTATTCAAATACGATCTTGGTCATCTTTTTTTTTTACTAAAGAAAGTTAAATTTAAAACGATGATACCTCTTAAGGACTGTTCGATTATGAGACAGCAGCTTTCAATCAGCCATCCTCATGACCATAAGTGATCAAAGGGCTGCAAGCTCTGTGGTATTTTCTGATCTTTGCAATCTAAATCATACTGGCTATCTGTATGTATTTTCCTATATACGTTTATTTTTATATACTATAATTCATCTTACGCAGCGACTGCGTTAAGATTTTTTTCTATAACAGTTTGAGATTGATACATACTGCATGGAATTTTGCATGACTAGAGTTGCATCAAAAATCATTTTTTATGACAGCCACACTTTATCCTTGCATATCGTGGCTACTTCCTTAAAAAAGACACTTCAAAAAAAAAGTTGCCTCGACTAGGATTTGAACCTTAGGCCTCTCACACCCTAAACGAGCGCGATACCAGCGCGATACCCCTAGCTGCACCACGGCGAAGTAATACGTAATATGTAGCCTGAATAAAAACAAATACAATTGTAATTTTAAATTGAGAATTACAATTTCGTGTTTGTAATCCTTATCAATTTCGAGGTATTTTGTTCACGATAAACCTGTTTAACACTGATAAAAATAATTTAGCGAAAATCTTCTCGCCAAAACAGTCCGACATGTATATATTCCACTACTCGGCAGTCAGATTTATTTGTGTACTACGCCCTGGAGTATTCAGTAATCGACATAGCTAAAAATAGCATTTTCATTGATTAAAATGATATTCATCCGCGAAATTTGTGATTGTAACCTCATATTTCTATTGACTAATCTGAACTTTCAATGCACTGTAATTCGTTAAATGCCTACGTTAAAAATTATTCTGTCTTTTAAATTGCTGGTTTTTAAGCAGTTTTGAGTGAGAACTACTTTGCGTTGTTAGGTCTGTTAGGAAATTTTGTGTTAGACCGTGGATGTTAGCTATGTATTTACTGATCTTGCGATCAGAAAATACAAAAAAGCACAGATTTATATATATTTCAAATTGTAATTAAGATCTGTGTTTAAACCAAACAGACCAAATAAGGATGCCAGAAGAAAGCCCAAAATGGCAAAATTTAAAAATTAATGTTGCAGACTCGGTTTGATTAAGTCATCCAAAGTTGATAAAAATGACAAGAATTGTCGACAGTGCAGTAAGGCCGACTGTACGAACGCAATGTAGATATTTACACCTTAAAATTAGGGATGGGTACATTCGCAAGAAAGAATAAAATATGTTTAAACCAAACACTGGAAAGGTCCGACTACATACATGATATTTACAATCAAAACAAGAAAAGGATTAGACTGGAAGCAACCTAATGCTTATTGAAGTCTTTTCACAATGTACAATAAATATATGTGCTAAATAAGGCGAAATAAATTGTCGTTTGTTGACTTAGAAGGCTGATGTGTTACAACTTGCATCGAAAATGAATAAATAAATATAAGATATATCAATTATTTAAAGAAAAGCAAAATAAGACTAATAATGATAATAGTTTGATAAGTTCAGATAGAAAGAAGATTGAGATAGAAAAAGAAGGAGAAAAAACAACAGAAAAAAAGACCTGTGATTTAACCCTTAATATAATGATAGTTGAAAATTATTGGAGAGTCAAAGCGATTCGATTTTTCAATATATTTATGAACTGCAAGGAATATTTTCTCATTATCTGAGTCTGTAAGTGTCGTGTTACCAAACAGGATGGTTTTTAGTGAAACATGACAGTATGTGCTTATACAGTTTATCAACTGAGGTCTTATGTTATTATAAAGAGGACAGTCGAGAAAAAAATGATGAGTTGTTTCCCTTTGTCCACAGACGCAAAGAGGCGAAGGTATGATATTCTTAAAAAAAAGGTCTTCAGCCAAAGAGCTACAGCTGGTCCTCAGACGTGTGTGGAAAATCTGGAGTTTTCTTTTGCCATAGTAAAAATATTTCGGTGGCTATTGAATGTTAGGAGATATACTCTTTTTAAATGACGATAATGTTGGAGAGTTGCGAACGTCACTTTGAAGACTGTTAAAGGCTCGAGTTGTGGATGGCAAGAAGGAATTATAATATAGCGTGGTACGAGCTCTAGGAGCCCTGTAATAGTTTTGATTACCGTTTAATGTAAATTGGCTAACTTGTTATCCTATTGCTACACTGAGATAATACATAGTCACTGGTTGACCTGGTTTGCACAAAAGAACACATGGTTATGTTTGTGATTCTGTTTGTGAGCAGTTGACCTAGCAATGAATGGAAAAGATGTGGCTAAATGTTCGAAAAACCGGAAAGGTCCTATATCTATAATAACCTTATCCGAAGACTGACGGAAAGGGCCGAAAAGTTGCGAATGGGATGGGTATTGCACAAGATGACTACACTTCTATCTTTAATAGAATGATATATTTTTATTAAAAGATATTGCGATATCTGAAAACATAATGCAATATGATATTGCAAGATAAAATATTGCGATAGCCAATATATTGCACAACCTTACTTAAAATTGACTTAAAATATTCCCCTGACTCACACGATGATTACTCTTTTGCTTTATATTTTTAGATAAGAGTAGCTATTAAAAGACAAAACTTGGTCATACGGACTGGTCACGTTTCAGTTAATTAACAATTAAAATAAATGTCAATGAACAATATTTAATTTACAAACTTCGCTTCATTCACCAGATTTACAAACAATTTCCAATCAAAAAGTCTTTTATTTTCTGTCATTTTTTTTGCAACACAAACCATTTACTCGCCGCCAAAAGCATCCATACCACGACTTTACTTGTAGGTTTGTCACTTGAACACACTAATTTCAACTTCTAGTGGGAATATTTAGAATGAAAGTTCTCGTGGAAATATTTAGAATATTGTAGACTTTCTTTAAGAACCATTTTTGTAGATTTTTGGCGGGAATTTAACGACCATTCCATCTCCCCGGATTCCAAGAAAAGTACACTTTAATTCTTAAATTTATGACGTTAATAGTACATATATTTATTTTGTAATCTCTTAATTTCGTTTCTATTTTAATATTGAAAGTTAAAGTTTACAAAGCAGGTATGAGGTAAAATGAATATTATAGTACCACGGTGGAGGAACTGTTACACGGAGGATGGAGTTCTTATCAACTTATACCTTGTCCGGAGTAATCTTCTGTAATTGTCACGAAGTTAAGCACATACATATTTATATATACACTTAAATATATCAAACTTGGCTGAAAATGACCTAGTCAAGGTAATAAGTAGTGGAGGACCCTCCACTACTGTAATGCTAGTAGATTCCTAGTTTTTCTTTGAATTTCACTTTTTAGTATTTAAAACTTTGTGTCCAAATCATTTGATGGTGAGTCAGTGTTACTGTATGAAATTGTTCACACACTGGGGAGAAAGTGATCGGAAGCTCAGTCAGTACAGCTGCATGTAGGTATTCATGGGGTCCCAGACTTCCATCCCAGCCATGCTGCACCTTTAATCCTTTAAAGGGGACTTCACAGAGATTTTTTTTATCAGAAACTGGAAATATTTCTCCGATATTAATAAACCATCTGATGTAAGTCTAGACTAATTGATTGCATGCAAAATTTCACATCATTTGCTCACTCCGTTCTTCCATTATGACCAAAGAATGAACAATTATGTACAACGTTTTCAATTATGAATAACACAAAAAAAACAACACCATTCTCAATTTATTTTCTTCGGAGTATGTTTCTCTACTGATCTATTGCATTTCACCTGTTCCAAATGTCCAAGTTCATCTATGCCGGAAATTAAAATTGTATGTTTTAGACTATGTTTGACCTCGGTGGAGTTCCTTTAACACGTATTGTTTATTTTGAACCAAACTAACTTAATTATGAGGCTGAATGAATTTGACATTTATAACTCTTTTTCATTAGTGGATTTTAGTTTATGGATTACGTAGGCAATAAACAACTTTTTATTGGTCACTTATATCATTGGCGGTAAACATTTTTGTCTTTTTCACCTCTACAATTTTAGTTCATTCTGTATGTGGTTGGCAAGTAGATCACATGTTGACATTCTTATTCACTTTCCATTGAAGATAAATGTAAAATTATTAAGGTTATTACTCATATTTTTTATGTTTGATGTAAATGTAGTCTTTGATAAACTGTTCTTTGTATGTTTTCAGAACATGTCACTCATCCACCACTTCGCTTAGTTTTGGCATGCCCCGTCGTGAGTATTATGCTATTAAAGACGGTGGTTTACATCTTAATGTAGAAGGTACAAGGCGTTTGAAAGAATTTTCCATCAATACCATTGCACACTTTAAGTAAAATAAGTGTTGGATGAGCGTTGCATGTTGACTATATGATTCAGTATTAAAAGCAAAAAAAGCTTCATTGATGGAAAAACTTTAAAATACAATTTTGTGTACAAAAGTTAAATTAATGATTATCATAAAAAGTGTACGAGAAAAATCCTACTGTGTTCCCAAATCAGTGGAAGGGCCTCGTCTTTTCTTATTTGTCATAAGCGACCCATATGTTATTCACATTATTGTTTGCTTGATATAAGCGACAATTTATCAAAAATCGGTGAATTAAAAACTTTGTTGTCAAATCCTGTTTTTGTCTGTTAATATGTTTAATGTTTCAAGTGTAAAATCTAAAACTGATAATGTTAAACAGTGATTTTTATGCGTTTGTTGGTCTGAGCACCGATATCCTTTAATTGTCTTAAGTTTTCGCGACCAAAAAAATTTGCTATTTACATGTATTTTTTGAATCTCTGCCACTTAAGTTCTACAACTTTAAAACCATTTGCTTTAATTTTTTAATTTGTGTCTTTGATGCCACGATATGAATGATATTACAAGCTTTGTTTTAGAAATCTTAGAAACAGATGACAGAATCTAAAAAAAATTCACCAAGTGAAACGAAAATGAAACGTCAGCGTATTTTATGCCTGTTTGGTATTCCGTGTGTTTTCTTCATAACTTTGATTGTGTTAAGTTTTCATTTGAGAAATGGAGTGGATGTTACAAGTATTAAGAAACAGAGGTTGATAGCTGCTCATTCTCACAAGTTTGAATCTAGAATTGAAAAGTATTCTAAATCTGATAAACTACTGTCTGAGCATCCACAGGACCTTATTTATAACCCAGAACATTTAGCTATGATGGGACAAATTAATGGTAAAGAAGACGAAGAATTAAAACAGAATGGTAAATTTTGAATTTAAAGAATAACTTCTTGTACAAGGCCTTTTTCACATTTATAGCATGGGCCGTTTAAGGTTGGCATCCCCAAAGAAAACTTCTTTAAAATCCTGCAGTTTTCCAAAAAATTGAATTGAAATCAAGTTTTTCTTTCCCCTTTTACAAAAGTTATGTATAATTTCTTCCCAAAATTAATTGGGAAAATGACCCAATATCGGTCATCAAAATGGCACAGAAAAAACCCTGACCTGTATTAATTAAGTATTAATGTGACATTAGCAACTGGAGAATCAGATAAATTCTTGTTTGGTCAGGCACTTATGCCACCAATTCGTTGATCAATGTGAAATGGTAAAAGAATAGAAAAGCAAATAAAATTAAATAGGCCAACATGCATATGATTTTAACAGTCTCCTATATAATTATTTCAATTGTCTTGACATACAGTTACATTGTTAATTTATCAATGTATTTCTTTATAAGCTGTGAAATACATTGGGAAACTGCAAAGGTAGTGTACACTTTAGTCATGATATAATGCTTCAGCTTCATTATTTTTGAATTTGAATTGATTTTTTGAAGAAAACACATGCATAAAATTTAAAATTTACTTTATAACCATAAAAAGAGCTTGATTTTTAGCTCGACTTTTCTATGAAAAGGGGAGCTATCCTACTCGCCCCGGCGTCGGCGTTAGCGTTGGCGTCACACCTTGGTTAAGTTTTTCGTACCACCCCACTTTATTTCAGAAGTATTACAAGTATGGCTTTGAAACTTACCATACTTGTTCACCATCATAACCTCCATCTACAGACAAGAGTACATAACTCTGTCAAGGTTTTTGACAGAATTATGGCCCTTTTTTGACTTAGAAAGTGTATTGAGCTTGGTTAAGTTTTTTGTACCACCTCACTTTATTTCAAAACCATTGGAGGTATTGCTTTGAAACTGACCATACTTGTTTACCATCATGACCTTCATCAACAGACAAGAGGACATAACTCTGTCAAGGTTTTTGACAGAATTATGCCCTTTTTGACTTAGAAAATACATTGAATATGGGTAAAATCCACTTATTGCCTTAACCTTTGAGATATTGCTTTGAAACTTTTAATGCTATTTCACATCATTACCCCCATCTGTACGCAAGAGAAGGTAACTCTGTCAAGGATTTGTTTTAAAAATTAAGGCCTTTTATCGACTTAGAATCTTGGTTAAGTTTTTAGTACCAGTCCACTTTTTGACTGAACTGTTTGAGATATTAATTTGAAAGTTGGAATACTTGTTTACAATCATGATTCCCAAACATGTCCAGGAGAAGGTAATTCTGTCAAAGATTTTATTTGAATTATGGCCCTTAACTGTCAATGTTTTGTAATTCAGTAAAATAATTCTTCACTAAATATCTTAATGCTCATGGCCATTGTTCACTTTAAAAATACAGAGATTCTTGTATTGCCTTTTACTGCAAAAACTTTTTTTATTGGCAAGCAATAAAAAAGTCGAGCGCGCTGTCTTACGGACAGCTCTTGTTAGCTCACCTGTCACAAATGACATGGTGAGCTTTTGTGAATCCTGTCCGTCCGTCCGTAAACTTTTACTTAAAACAACATCTCCTCATAAACCACTTAGCCAATTTCATCCAAACTTCACAGGAATGTTCCTTTGGTTGTCAACTTTGTTCAAAGAATTTAATTACAAGCAGAACTTGGGTTGCCATGGCAACTGAAAGAAAAACTAAAAATATCTACTTTTAGAAAACCGCAAGAGCTAGAGCTTAATTATTTGGCATGAAACATCACCTAGTCAGTGTTTACCAAGTTTGTTCAAATAGATGCCCTTGGGTCAAATTTTTTTTTTTTTTTTTTTTTAATGCGTTTATTTAAGGTCGCCGCCGGAAAGCCCATATGGGCGACCGTACACTCAAGTCGGGCCATCCTAGAGCGTCTCGCCGAGATTTTTCGTCGATTTTTTTCCAGCTTTATTAGTGGAGGAAGACCCCAGGTGCCCCTCCGGGCATTATTTCAGGCACGAGCGGGCACCTGGGTAGAACCACCGACCTTCTGTAAGCCAGCTGGATGGCTTCCTCACATGAAAGATTTCGACCCGAGTGAGGATCGAACCTACAGTAGTGAGGGACCTGTGATCTCAAGTCAGCGACCTTAACCACTTGGCCACGGAGGCCCCAGGGTCAAAATTGGCCCCGCCCCGGGGGGTCATTGATTTTCCTTATTTGTATATAGTAAAAACTTAAAAAAAAAACAACTTCTTTTAGAAACCCCAAATAGCTAGAGCTTAGATATTAAGCATGAAACATCTTCTAGTGGGTGTCTACCAAGTTTGTTCAAATAAAAGCCCTGGGGTATAAATTGGCCCCGCCCCAGGGGGTCATTGTTTTTCCCTATATGTATATAGTAAAAACTTAAAAATCTTCTTTAAAAAAAAACCCCAAAGAGCTAGAGCTAATATATTTAGCATGAAACATCTTCTAATGGGTGTCTTCCATGTTTGTTCAAATAAGGGCCCTCGGGTTAAAATTGACCCAACCCCAGGGGTCATGGATTTTCCTTATATGTGTGTATGTGTAAAAAACCCAAAGAGCTAGAGTTTAGATATTAAGCACGAAACATCTTCTATTGAGTGTCTACCAAGTTGTTCAAATAAAAGCCCCTGGGTCAAAATTGTCCCCTCCGGAGGGGGGGGGGGGGAGGGTCATTGTTTTTTCCTATATGTATATAGTAAAAACTTAAAAAATCTTCTTATAAAACCCCCAAAGAGTTATGGCTTAGATATTTAACATGAAACATCTTCTAATGGCTGTCTACCAAGTTTGTTCAAATAAAAGCCCCTGGTTTAAAATTGGCATTGGCCCAGGGGCCTATATACAGGTGAACATTTCAGGGCCATCATGGCACTCTTATGTTTTGTACAGGTTCTAATTTCAACTAACTTACAATTTTGAATGAAACAGCTTTTAAAAAGTATGATACACTTATTGATTAATCAAGTGTCAACTGGACACCAACATATGCTTATGTAGATATTTAAAGTTGCTTTTCCTGGTCAGACTATGTCCCAGTAAACCTGAAATAACCAGAATTTGGCTCTTATAATGGATCAAAACACTAAAATCATAAAATGTATGTTGCTGACAGGTTAACACAACAGCAACATTTTAAAGTGGCTTATACTTACTATCTCCACAGCCATGAATTATGATTATTTTTTATTATTATGCAGTTCTTTTTCTCCTGTTTTTAAGGATATAGTGGCAGGGTTCATTTAGAGGGTAAAATTGTGTTATGGAGAAGACTATGTAGAAAAATTATAAGTGTAATTAACTGTCCATCCTATGTTAAATTGTGATGCATTATCATTTCAATTGAAAATGTCCGTCGGTTCCACTAATTCTCTCCTTTGATTAAATGGATTTTTAGAATATATAGTTTCTTTTGACTGATGAACGGGAATTAAGAAATAACAAGGGAAAAAACATATGTTTTCTGGAGACAAATAGGGACTGGTTCTTGACTTAATAAATAAAAATGAATTTTTATTCCTTGTTTTGTTTACTGAACTAATTATTTGCTTGAAATGGAAAATTTGTCATATAAATTAACAATTCAGAATTGTGATACTGAATTGAAAGCAAATTAATATCCTAGTGTCATTGAATAATTATTTTTCTTTATTACCATATGTAAATATATGAATGAGATTTTTTTATCATTTTTTCAGGTCAAGGACTGTATGCTTTCAATGATTTAATAAGCAGTCGACTTAGTTTAAACAGAGCTGTACCAGATACCAGGCATAAACTGTAAGTCATGTTAATACATATAGTAACATTTCATGTTACATTCAGAGATTTATATCACACTTCAACCTGTTTCTGATTTTAATAGTAAAATTAGTAATTGAACCCTTTGTCTCTCAGTCCATAAAATATCAATCTAAAGAGGCAAGTTTGATGTATTGTAAGTTATAAAATTATCAGAATGTTAAGCTGCATGCCTCCAGATGAGTCAAAAATATTTCAAGAAAAGTTAACTTAAGAAAAATGTACCCAGATTTTAAGAAAACTAAAGGTTTAAGATTCAAGTAATAATCCATCCATCCATCTAAATTGTAATAATTAACATGTTATAAGGGATTAAGGACTGATTTTATAGAATTAATCACCATATTTTTATTGTGTTACACATTTAGGGCTATCTTTGCTTATTTTGACCTGTTTTGGTAATTTACATAGATTGCATGTGCTACTTGCAATGTGAAATTTATTTTCTTTGTTCACTTCACAATATTTCACTTTTAAATACTTTTTAAATTTTTTATGAAAATTAGCATGAATCTGGAGGCATGCTGCTTTAAACATGTAAATGTGACTTATCAGTATTTCTACAACATGATGTGACATTTCTCTCATTAAAGTATTATAACCCATCTATGGGTATATGCATTATTCTGTGATAAATCATAGATGGTAAGAAAAATTCACAAGTAGATTTTATAGGTGTTGTACATTAGACTATTATATACATGGTGAAATTAATTTGGTGTCATCTAATTGATGGCTCTAGTTGAAGAGGCAATGGAAAGCTTGTAGTTGATGAAATAAAAGTTCATATTTTGTTAAATTATTATTTCCTAAAAATATTTGTTGGTTGTAATAGATTGTAGTCTTATTACACATTATGTTGAACATTAACAAGGTGATTGTCTAAAAGGATTTGATTGAAGACAATTGTTTTTATAAACTCTTTTTTTTCATTATAAGTTGTCAGGCAGTGAAGTACCAACCTGATCTTCCAAGAGCCAGTGTAATAATATGTTTCTACAATGAAGCCTGGTCTACACTTCTACGTACGGTACACTCGGTTCTAAACAGAACACCGGCACATCTGTTACATGAGATTGTCTTGGTTGACGATGCTAGTGAACTGCGTAAGTAAGGGCATAGCATCCATTGCATTTTGTATATTTATCATTTGTGTTATTTTTTGCAAAAGAGGTATATTAAAACTGATGAAAAAATCTGTATCTGAGGGAAGCTGCAGGATATGAAATTATCTATTTTAAAAGTAGCAATCTTTAAATAATATTGTCACTGAAATGTTAGATAGATTCTTGTTCTGTTGCATCGTCAGAACCTCTGGTACACATTCCGTATATATTACATTTAATACTGATACATGTATACGGTAAATAGTCGCGGTTACCGAGGACGGTTCTGTTGAGAGTTTGTGCCCTCTGTGTGTTATTGGTGACAAAATGATTACAAGTGGTAATGAATAGCTGTTTACAAATAGTTCACGACATCTTTTTCTATCTGACAATTCTAACAAAACTTGAAAATCATAGGAATTAGGGAGAGATTTATGTTCAGTTAAAATGACATTATGCTCATTTTTTCATTGTCAAATTGACTTTAATTGACTATATATTTCAATAAACTGATCGTTATATTGGTGATTGACCAACACATGATATTTTAAAATGTTTAGGGTAAAAAATAAATCTACCTAAATATATAATAAGACTGCCCAACTCTTTTTATAAATTAAAAGTTACGGATACATTCCGAAGGATAAGTACACACAATTCACAGGGCCCAGTGAGTTATTTATCGTTCATGTGAAGTAATTTATAAAATTAACAGGAATTATGAGAAAATGATAACTCATTTTGACTTTCACCTGTTCACTCATTATCTACCCATGGATGGGCATAATGTCACTTTAAATTGTGTTGAAATGTGCAGTAATGCAAATGTATAACATTATACCAATTACGATCATATAATTTGTAACACTGTAGGTCTGGCTTAAATTATTTGATAAATTCAGGAGTTCATATTCAGCTGGCATTGCTCAATGGTGAGAGTGTCAGAATAGTTATCCAGGGTCGCTGATTCAATACTTGGCTGAGGCGTGGTTTTTCTGTGACAATTTATCTCTTACATCAATTCTGATAGTCATTTGTCTCTCACAGCTGATCCTGAAATCATAGTCTATCATTTCCGGAGAAATTGTGCATTATTAGGTAGTTATCAAGGAAAGTTGGTATTGTGGATCACCAAGATATGAACAAAAATGTTTTAAAATCAGTGTAAAAACTAAAAAAACTAACGAACAATATTTGAAATAATATAAATGAGCCGCATCATGACAAAACCAACATAATGCGTTTGCGACCAGCATGGATCCACCCCAGCCTGCGCATACTTGCAGTCTGATCAGGATCCATGCTGTTTGCTTACAAACCCTATTACAAGTAGAGAAACTGATAGCGAACAGCATTGATCCTGATCAGACTGCGCGGATGCACAGGCTGGTCTGGATCCATACTGGTCGCAAACCCACTATGTTGGTTTTGTCGTGACGCGGCTCATTAATTATGTACTGATTATTTGTTCTTTTTCACAATGAAATAAAAATTGACTAATACAATGTTTAGCTCACCTACAAAGCAAGCTAGCAGAGTATGTGTGGTCATTACATCCAAATATAACCTTGGTACGGTTACCTGACAGACAAGGTCTTATACGTGCCAGGCTTTATGGTGCCCATGTGGCAACAGGGGAGGTAATTATCATATTGTTATTATATTAAAAATATTTTTTATATCAGAGAAATTATTGTGTTTCATTGAAGTCTTCAGTTGATGAAATAGGTTGATTTTTTAACGCATTTCAATTGTTATACAATATGTGTGATATTAGATAGACAGTAAGACTTGAAAGTTTCAAATTGTTGATTGTTGATTTTTTCAACAGAGGACATAACTGATTTAGATATGTGGAGAATACTCTATTATTAAGTGTAATAAAACAATGGTAAAATAAATCATCAGAAACTTGTATAACTTCTTTAAATTTTCATAAAAAAACATCTATCGGCAAATCAATTTTTGTGCCCCCACGTTAGTGGCGGGCATTTAGATTTACCCTTGTCCGTCCGTCCTTCCGTCCGTCCGTCCTTCCGTCCGTCCGTCCGTTCACTTTTGTGTCGCATGTAACTCAAAAAGTATTTGACCTAGAGTCATGAAACTTTACAGGAATGTTGATCAGCATGTGTTGTTGTGCACCTGGGTATTTTCGTGTGGACATTTTTAGTATTTTCAGAGTTATTGCCCTTGACTTAGTAAAATTTTGCAATTTTCAACTTGTGTCGCATGTAACTGAAAAAGTATTTGACCTAGAGTAATGAAACTTTACAGGAATGTTGATCAGCATGTGTAGTTGTGCACCTGGGTATTTTCGTGTGGACATTTTTAGTATTTTCAGAGTTATTGCCCTTGACCTAGTAAAATTTTGCAATTTTCAACTTGTGTCGCATGTAACTCATAAAGTATTTGACCTAGAGTCATGAAACTTTACAGGAATGTTGATCAGCATGTGTTGTTGTGCACCTGGGTATTTTAGTCTGGATATTTTAAGTATTTTCAGAGTTATTGCCCTTGACTTAGTAAAATTTTGCAATTTTCAACATGTGTCGCACGTAACTCAAAAAGTATTTGACCTAGATTCATGTAACTTTACTGGAATGTTGTTCAGCATGTGCAGTTGTGCACCAGGGTATTTTCGTCTGGATATTTTTAGTATATTCAGAGTTATTGCCCTTGACTTAGTAAAATTTTGCAATTTTCAACTTGTGTCGCAAGTTACTCAAAAAGGATTTGACATAGTCATTAAACCTTATGGGCAGGTTGCTCAGCATATTTAGATTTGCACCTGGGGTTTCGCTTGTGGATTTATCAAGTATTTGTAGAGTTATTTCCCTTGACTTAGTAAAAAGATTGACAGAACAGTGGCGCGGTGGGGGCACCCGTGTCCTATGGACACATTTCTAGTTCTAAGTATTTTAAAAAGTCTGTATTAAGTTTGTTTTCTATCAAACCTTAGACTGCTGGTAGAGACAGAATTTTCCCATGTAACAGTTAGTGCACACCAAAATCTGCTGCACATTTATACTGTTTGATCATTGTCTACATTGTTCACTATGTAGTCAAGTAGATATTGTGAATTTTACCTGTACACCCACCGTTTTTGAATTATACTCAAATCAGCATAATTCCACGTTATGCAGCCAACAACAGTATCTGCCTGTTCATACTACATAGGTGTGCAATACATCCTCACATGTTTCCGTGGCTCTATACTGCTAGTTAAGTCAAGTAATTATTACCTCTAGCATACTTAGTGTTAATATATTATACATATTTAACTTTTAGGTTTTGGTATTCCTTGACAGTCATTGTGAGGTAAATAAACAGTGGTTAGAGCCGTTACTGGCCAAGGTCGCTGAGAGTCGTAGAACGATAGCTATACCTGTTATTGACATGATTAACTCCGGCACGTTTGAGTACAAGGCATCTGCTCTAGTGAAAGGTGGCTTCAACTGGGGCATGCATTACACCTGGGAGCATTTACCGAAAGATTACTTCAAAGGTACAAAAACAAATGTAATCAATGCTCCAAAGTTGTCTCCCTTTTGCTTTAAGAAATGTGTAGGATAAGAAAATACCTGGCTTTATTTTTATATGCCATTATTTCTATAACCCTGCTTTGACAGTCACCAGTTTTCTGGAACAAGCCCAACATTTTGGAGGCAATGTCATGTATGGATATAGTTTTGAAGGCAACATCAGACAGGTTGTTTAGAAAATTGGAAAAAAAATATCACTGATCAGAGGTCACTATACAAGGCCCATTATTCTGACATAGATTTTAATTTTGACTGAATTATGGCACATTTTGAACTTTGAAAATTCTTGTGTATTGGGCGTTATTAATCTTCAAAATAACTAAAAGTCTTCAGTAAAAAACTAAATACACGCATACAGGATCAAATTGTAGGTTGCTATCCAAGGTCAATAACTCTCACATGGTTTTGATTTAGTCACACTACAGATATATATAAAATTATGTGATACATTATGTATTTTATAGATGAGGAGAGCTATATACAGCCTATAGAAACACCGACAATGGCAGGGGGATTATTTGCTGTGAACAGACAATACTTCAGAGAGAAAGGGGAGTATGACCCTGGACTGGATACATGGGGAGGAGAAAATCTAGAAATTTCATTTAGAGTAAAGTTGATTTATTGTCTTTTAAACCTTTACCTGCTGAATTTGTGTAATGGATTTGGCTGCTTTCAATTTGAAATGGTCCATTAAAAGTTTCAGGGATTTTAATAGCATATTACAAGAATTGAGCTAGCAACAGTATACACTAAAAGTCATTAAAAGGAACAAATTCGTATTTTAGTTGTCGCAAATATATATCTCGAATGGTTGCCGCGTTTAACGGACGGATTTTAACTTATTCTAACTGCGATGACCTAACTTTTCAGAGAAACGTACTTTTTACTGCTTCCAAATATGTAAAGAAACAAATTTTTCATGACATTTGACACAAATTTGCCAAAAAACCATTGTAGCATTGTACGATTAATGTAATCAAACAAGAACAATAATGTATGGTATGTAATATAAATTACAACAAAGGACCTAATTTTAGCGGATGATAGTATCTTAACGGAAATGCTGTATTTTCTTTCAAAAGAACTGTGATCGGCGACCCTTTTATCAGCTTGTCCTGTGTCGCATAATTTCTGTCAGGTACGTTAACTCTATCATATGTCTGCTGAAAAAATAGAAGTATTTAGGACAGCTTGCTTGTTTTGGTGTCAATACTCTCTCCATAGATGCATGTTTGTGGTTCAAATGGGTCAAAACGTATATATATGGTGAATGCATCTGTGTAACTGGTTAAAACACACCCAGTTTGTGTGTTACGATAAAAATAGTCATGTACGTGAACTCTTTACTTTGATTTTACTTTGAAAAACAGCATATGGTAGATCAAATGAGATATTCTATAGTTGGGTATCTTTACTATAATAAAATGAATAGCATTTTTTTCAGCATTTTAAAGCGTTTCTCAGCATTAAATAAAAATTTCATATAAGACCGTCAGGAACGGTAAATGTCAGGAACGTGAATTAATTATCGGTAAACGAGTCTTAATTGTCTTTTTCGAATTATAAGTGTTACGTCATTGATACATTTACGTCACACATTTATTTCTACACGCTTGCGCACTTGATTAATATTACACTTCCGTTGACCTTCAATGTTTACGTCGCGGGAACATTTAAACTTTACAAAAATACAGACGAAGTGGAAAAAGTGATCATTGCAAGGTATGAGATTTATATAAAATATTCGTTTATGATTTCTATTTAATAAAGGATGATTGTTTATAATTTTGAACATATTTGGTGAACATTTTTGATAAAAATAACAATTCTTTAAATCTACAAAGTTTCATAACGTACTTGACGGGTTATTTAACGTACCTGACTTTATTTCAGGTATGGGAAAAACGAGGGCCCAGTATCAAAAAGAGTATCGAGAGAGAAAGAAGCTGCAAGATAAGCACTATCTCAAAAGAGAAAGGGAAAGAACAAAGAAGTACAAAGCACCAATAGCAGCTTTGAGCAAAGAAAAGCAGTTTGAACAAAGAGAAAAAAATAAACTCTGGAAACGCAAAAGTAGAGAAAGACAAAGAAATAAACTATCAGAGATTCAGACAACTGAACAAGGAAATGTAGTAACAAATGAAATAGAAAAAAATGTAAGCCCCTTGAAAGTCAAAATGAATTTTAATGTTCAACGTAGACCAAGGAGAAGATCAAAAGCTTTAAGAACAGCAAACAGAATAATACACGACCTAGAACAAAAAGTTGAAAAGATATCACGAGAAAATAGAAAATTGAGAAAAAGAAATGAAAGATTTTGTAAGAAAATCACATCACCTAAAGCTAGTACCAGTCAGATGTGTACAGATGAACATTCAGACACTCCTAATTCAAAAGCAAAAAGAGATATTCGTAACCTTGGTCTAACCCCTAAGAAAGTTCCTAGATGTGTTAGGAAGAAATTAGTGATGGCAAATGCAATGTTAGAAGAAATCAAGAAAGAAAAATACTAACCAAAAGAGAAAAAGGGTTGTGGCAAATATAGTGAGCGGTAACATTATCAAGAAATATAAATGCCTAAATTTGCTCAGCAGAGAAACGGGAATGGGAAGAAAGACTTTAAAAGGGGTGAACTCGAAGAATATTGAGACACTTGCGAAAAGAAGAATGGCTGTACAAAGAGAAGCTGTAAAGAAATTAGTTATTGGATTCATGGAAAGGGATGATGTAAGTGTAAATATGCCTGGGAAAAATGATTGTAAGAAAATAGAAAAAGGGGAGAAAGGAGAGAAGAAACAGATACGCGTATTAAACGACTATCTTGTGAACTTATATGAAAAGTTTAAATCAGAAAACCCAGATGTTAAAATTTCGCAGACAGTATTCAAACGATTACGACCAAAACACATACTCCTCACAAAGATGATCTCGCGAAATACATGTTTATGTACAAAGCATCAAAACTTTGCAATGAAATTGAAAGCTTTAAGATCTTATGGTGTTGAATTGTCAGCAAACCCAGAAACAGTCAGCAAAAATGTTTCAGAAGAGGAGATGAAAGTAAAGATAGCAGCAAAGTTAGAGTATATTGATGAAGTAAAATACCAAGAATGGAAACGTGTTGAAGTTGATGGTAAAAAGAAGATGAAAATAGTTGATACAAATATGAATAAAAATGATTTCAAGGCGCACATGGAGACACAATATAAAGATTTTCTGGACCACGTTTACAGAGTTAAAACACAATACTCAGCAATCCGTACCTTAAAAGAAAAACTACCTGAAAATGAAATGCTAGTTCATATGGATTTTGCCGAAAATTTTACTTGTAGCAATGCCGATGAAATACAGAGCGCCTATTGGAATGCTACAGGTGTTACATTGCATCCAGTTGTGGTATACTTCAGATTGGGCGAGGACCTTGAACACAAAAATTACATTTATGTATCTGATGTCTCAAGTCACAATTCATCTGCTGTCTATACTATATTGAAAAAGCTAGTGCCTGAACTTAAATATGTGTGCCCCGATCTTAAAGTAATACACTACTGGACGGACAGCCCATCGTCACAATATAGAAACAAATACATGATAGATATTGTTCAATGCCACCCAGAACTTTTCAATGTAGCTGCCAGATGGAATTATTTTGAATCTGGACATGGGAAAGGCCCGTGTGATGGTCTGGGCGGTGTAGCAAAAAGACAGGCTGCTGAAGCGTGCAAACAAGGCAAGGTCAATATACAAGATGCCGTTGACTTCTACCAATGGGCTTCAAGCCATGAAAAGAGTATTAGATATGTATTTTATTCAGCAGCTGAATATGATGCCACTGTGACGGAATTTGAAAGTAGAAAACCAAAAACAGTCCCAGGTACAATGAAACTACATGCAGTTTTTCCTATTGGAAATATATTGTATACCGCAAGTGTTTCCTGCTATTGTGAAACTTGCCTTCTTGGATCTCCGTGTGAAAACTGGACAGAAGTGTCAAGAGACAAATGTTCACATGATAAAGTTGAACCATGTAGTAGTGGCAATAAACGAAAATGTCAGTCAACTGAAAAAGTCGATAATGCATGCAAAGTTATAAAGACATCAAATGAAGAAATTGAGACTGTTAACAGTGATGTTATTGGAATCACTCAAGTTGATGATACTCCGGCTGCCGGAAAGTATGCTCTCGTGAATTGGGAAGGCGCTATTTACCCATGTCATATACTTACGATTGATGTCATTAAAATGATCGCAGATGTCTCTTTCATGGAGGAAGCGAGTGCAAAAGCTGGTTGTATATTGTTTAGGTGGCCCAACAAACCGGATATTCAGAATATCAATATTTCACAAATAGTACGAATAATTGATGAGCCTTCAGCATGTAGCAAAAGTCGGCGACAGTTTCGATTAAACCCCGAGGACTACGAGTATCTTGGTTACGACAGCGACTAAGCTATATATGCATCAAATACAAATCTTTAACATGTGCACAGTATAGACACTATTTAGACTGTTAAACATTAAAAAACTTAGATATTTATTCACATTCATAGCAAATCATACTTAAGCAGCGTAGCACATTGTTAGAATTGTTTTCGTTATCAGTTTACAGTTTTGAAACAGTTTAATTACAAATATACATTATGAAAAAATTTAATGTCAGGTACGTTAACGCTCATCCTTATAAGGTAAACATTGTTATTCTTTGAATAATGTATAAATATTTCTCTCAAATTGTTTGAAAAGCGATTAAAAAAATCAATACAAGTGTTCATGTACTAAAACAAATGGTTGAGTTGTATTTATAGAGTTATAATACATTTCGGCTACTTAATATTGAACATTTTACAGTTGGTTTCAAATAATTTTATAAATGGATATCTTAATATGATGTTGAAGATGTAAAAAGCAACAATCATTTATAGGAAGTGATGTGTAAAGTTTTAGTGTTATTAACGTTGGACTTTGTGTCATATCTTTTCTAGTTGATTATATTTGTTAACTTTGCTTTTTTTGGTCAGGTACGTTAAACATTAGACCCTTTTTATAAACATTCAAAAAGAAGACAATTTATTGAAAATGTAACATTGACTGTATATAATATTTTCATTAAAGATCAAGGTTTATGTTTAAGCTTTGTTACTCGTTATAGAAACACCAAATATAAAATCATAACATTGTGATTGAAAAGAATATTTGTTTTCTTATAAAATCAATATAATGAAAAACTGAAACCTTATAAACGTTTACTTTATTACATTCAAAATATGTTTTGTGTGTTTTGCCTGTTAATTGAATATTTACTTATAATAATGAACCACCTAAAGAATAAATTAGTGTTATATTTCAACGTCTAATGTGCGACTCATTCTACGTTAACGTACCTGACATAGTATTTTTGGTGGTACTTTAAGTTGATGTTTTTCTCAACGTGTTCAATTGTTAAAGTGACCCACTATTTTTTTCAGATAGTTGATATGTTGAATTAGTTAGAGATATATAAACGTAATAAAAACGACATAAATAAAATTTTGATTGTTACTGATTTGAAATTGTTCCTTTTATTGACTTTGAGTGTATAGAACCTGGTCAGACAGTATGGATGTTCTGACTAGCCTGTCTCTATACTAGTGGCAAAGGCTAGTTACGTTGTGTTCCAACAGGTCAAGGGTAATAGCCTTGTCCTTCTAGATGTGTGATGCCTTTGTCTTATCGAAGGTTAAAAGGTTTATACTTATAATTTTGTATAAAAATTAAAGCTGCATGTCTCCAGAGGAGCCAAAATATTTCAAGAAAATCAAACTTTGTGAAAACGCACTAATATTGTATGAGAGGTAAATAGATTCAAGATTCGAGTAATAATTTATATCTTATGTGCGATTAATGACTTCATTTTGTGGTATTTTCACCATATTTCTATTGCGTTACTAACGCAGTAAGGGGCTTTTTTGCATATTTCGACCCATTTGGTAATGTACATGGATTGTTAGTGCTGTTTGCAATATGTTGATTACTTTCTTTGTTCACTTTGCAATATTTTACTTTTAAATACATTTTCAAAATTTTCATGAAAATTAGGATAAATCTGGACCATGCTGCTTTAATTTGTCTTATTGAAATGTCAGTTTTCAGACATCATTATAATAGTGTGGGTTGCATTTATTAGTAATAAGATATTTTCTAAATTTTTGAAAGCTAACAGCACTTATGACAAGGTCTATCACATGTATGTAAGATTTAGTACAGCCTGCATGTTTTCTGAGGTCTTACTAGACTTTGTGCTGTTTGTGTCTTAAAGTCAACATCAGCTAAATCAGCTTTGATGTTTTGAAGCTTTGACTATCCAACACTGGGTGGTTTGAACTTATAGTGTTAAAAATGAAAAAAAATGTCATCAAAGAATCCAAAGAATCAAATTACACCACAGATGTATACATTACAAGGAACAAAATGATAAAGAAATATGTTTCTTGTTCCCAGAAATGCGAACTTATTTAAGATTTGGCACCTGTATCTTGCTATGATTTTAAACTGTTGTAACAGTTCATTTTATGTGCAGATAAATAGCTTTAAAACTATGGAAGATATACCTAGTATATATTTAAAAAAAAAAAATAATAAAAAAATTCATGCATGTTTTACAGATTTGGCAGTGTGGGGGAAGACTAGAGATCATACCTTGTTCTCGTGTTGGTCATATTTTCCGACAAAGACGTCCATATGGTTCACCTGATGGTGGGGACAGCATGTTGAAAAACTCTGTTCGGGTAGCGCGTGTATGGATGGATGAATATATAGTAAGTTAAGCTTGATACTATATTGTGCAAGGTATGATCAAAGTTTTATGTAAGTTTATACTTTACCTGCTGAAACCAGAATTGATTAGCCTTTGCCACCAGTATAGGACCAAGTTAACCTGCACATTTGTGAAGCCTTACCAGGCTTTATACTGCTGGTTACTCAATTTTTGTATTTTAATATTGAAATCCTTTAAATTTTGAATTGACTGTTTCAGTATAAAGCAGGACAAATCCATTACGCAATATCACAAGGTTAAGTGTTAATTAAGAAATAATATATCCCAAACTGTGATTTTATTGCTCAATAATATCACTGTTTGGAGTTCGGATGCGGGGAATTATATCACGAGGGCGTAGCCCGAATGATATAGTAATGAGCATCCGAACGACAAACAGTGATATTATCAAGCAATTAAATCACCAATTTGGATATATTATTTTGATTCTAACACAACATCAACAAAAAAATGCTGCCATACATTATAACTAGCTTAATTGCGCCTGATTTGTTTCCGTCAGCGCGTCACATTTTTAGAAGTTACGTCAAGTGTATAATGATTACGGCACATGTCTAAATATAGAACGTCAAACAGTGATTTTATAGCATAATAACACACACTTTCGGTTCTTCTATGTTCAATAGGGAAAAATGGGGGTCGTGTTAGAATTTATATTTATAGATGTCTTTAAATGTTAAATTAAGTTGCAATTTAACTTTATTGTACTCTTTTGAGGATACAATATATTTCATGTTTTTCATGACATCTTTGCAAAGAGGAACTTTGTATAGGTGGAAAGTTACTTTGTATTATTTTACCAGTTTTGATGTAACTGGAAATAAATCGTGACATTATAATTTATTATCATGATGTGTACATATATACCCTGTGATTTATACCTCCATTTTCAGAAATATGATTATTCTTTTTATTCTTTTTCAGATTTTCAGAAATATGATTATTGTTTTTATTATTTTTTCAAATTTTCAGAAATATTTCTTTCAAGTTCAGCCTGCAGCAGCCGAGGTTAATTATGGTAACATAACATCGAGAATTGCATTACGAGAAAAATTAAAATGCAATACATTCAAGTGGTATCTTAGAATTATCTATCCAGAACAGGTGAGACATTTTTTAGCTCGACTTTTCTATGAAAAGGGGAGCTATCCTACTCGCCCCGGCGTCGGCGTCGGCGTTAGCGTCGGCGTCGGCGTTGGCGTCACACCTTGGTTAAGTTTTTCGTACCACCCCACTTTATTTCAGAAGTATTACAAGTATGGCTTTGAAACTTACCATACTTGTTCACCATCATAACCTCCATCTACAGACAAGAGTACATAACTCTGTCAAGGTTTTTGACAGAATTATGGCCCTTTTTTGACTTAGAAAGTGTATTGAGCTTGGTTAAGTTTTTTGTACCACCTCACTTTATTTCAAAACCATTGGAGGTATTGCTTTGAAACTGACCATACTTGTTTACCATCACGACCTTCATCAACAGACAAGAGGACATAACTCTGTCAAGGTTTTTGACAGAATTATGCCCCTTTTTGACTTAGAAAATACATTGAATATGGGTAAAATCCACTTATTGCCTTAACCCTTTGAGATATTGCTTTGAAACTTTTAATGCTATTTCACATCATTACCCCCATCTGTACGCAAGAGAAGGTAACTCTGTCAAGGATTTGTTTTAAAAATTAAGGCCTTTTATCGACTTAGAATCTTGGTTAAGTTTTTAGTACCAGTCCACTTTTTGACTGAACTGTTTGAGATATTAATTTGAATGTTGGAATACTTGTTTACCATCATGGTCCCAAAACATGGGCAGAAGAAGGTAATTCTGTTAAGGATTTTATTTGAATTATGGCCCTTTTTGACTTAGAAACTCAGTTAAGATTTTCATTCTTGTCCACTTGTTGACTTAACCATTTGAGATATTACTTTGGAAGTTGGAGTTCTTATGTGCCATCATGAGACCTATCTGTAAGCAAGAGAAGATAACTCTGTGAAAATGTTTCTTGATTTGTACTTAGAAATTCCTAGTTAAAGTCTTGTGTGCCCTTAACTGTCAAAGTTTTGTTTTGTAGGCAAGCACTAAAAAAGTCGAGCGCGCTGTCCTTCTGACAGCTCTTGTTTATAATTATTTTTGAATTACATGTATCATTCATGTGAGGAAGCTATCAAACTAGCTTACAGAACGTCGGTGGTTCAACTCAGGTGCCCGTTCATGCCTGTAATAATGCACAAAAGGGCACCTGAGATCTTCCCCCCACCAGTAAAACTGGAACTTCACCATATGACTTAAAAAAACCTTGGTGTGACGTAAAACCCAATTAAAACAAACAAACAAAAATTGAAATATCTTACATATCTTTTATATCTTATATATATCTTATTATATTTTGTTCATAATATGTTTTTTTGAGATATATAAAAAAAAAAGGTCAGGACAATTATCATAAGGATAACTAGATTTCAGCTTGGTGTTATCCAGGTGTGTGAATTGTAGTGTCAGCGTAATTTTGAGTGCAATTTATTGTGCATTTTCATGTCCTATCCACCACAAAAGATATATTATGCTTGTTATATGATTTGTTCTTTTTTAATACTCTAGGTTATACCAGATAAACCAAACCATGGTAAAGTTGGAAATTTACCTCCAAAATACAAGGTCAAGTTAAAAAAGAGAGGGCTTGTAAGTATGAAATGCTGATTTTTTTTCATTCAAGATAACAAGAAGGCCAATGTTTCTCAAAACTTATTCTGTTGAAAATTATAATTTTCATGCATTATTGGACTGATGAAATTTATCAAATATCATGCATAATCATTGGCATACATATAATTTCATTAGAGTATAACTAGGTTTCTTACAATACATGTATATCTGTATGGAAGATAATTTTCATCAGAATTTTCATCAGAAGAGTTTTATATAAGAGATGCATTTTTAGCTCGACTTTTCTATGAAAAGGGGAGCTATCCTACTCGCCCCGGCGTCGGCGTCGGCGTTGGCGTCACACCTTGGTTAAGTTTTTCGTACCACCCCACTTTATTTCAGAAGTATTACAAGTATGGCTTTGAAACTTACCATACTTGTTCACCATCATAACCTCCATCTACAGACAAGAGTACATAACTCTGTCAAGGTTTTTGACAGAATTATGGCCTTTTTTGACTTAGAAAGTGTATTGAGCTTGGTTAAGTTTTTTGTACCACCTCACTTTATTTCAAAACCATTGGAGGTATTGCTTTGAAACTGACCATACTTGTTTACCATCACGACCTTCATCAACAGACAAGAGGACATAACTCTGTCAAGGTTTTTGACAGAATTATGCCCTTTTTGACTTAGAAAATACATTGAATATGGGTAAAATCCACTTATTGCCTTAACCCTTTGAGATATTGCTTTGAAACTTTTAATGCTATTTCACATCATTACCCCATCTGTACGCAAGAGAAGGTAACTCTGTCAAGGATTTGTTTTAAAAATTAAGGCCTTTTATCGACTTAGAATCTTGGTTAAGTTTTTAGTACCAGTCCACTTTTTGACTGAACTGTTTGAGATATTAATTTGAAAGTTGGAATACTTGTTTACAATCATGATTCCAAACATGTCCAGGAGAAGGTAATTCTGTCAAAGATTTTATTTGAATTATGGCCCTTAACTGTCAATGTTTTGTATTATAGGCAAGCACTAAAAAACTTAAAAAATCTAAAAAAATTCATTCCTATCCACTTGTTCACTTTACCATAAATTATGTCATATAAACATTGCTGCAGTGTTCAAGGGTATCACACAATTCAGTAAAATAATTCTTCACTAAATATCTTAATGCTCATGGCCATTGTTCACTTTAAAAATACAGAGATTCTTGTATTGCCTTTTACTGCAAAAACTTTTTTTATTGGCAAGCAATAAAAAAGTCGAGCGCGCTGTCTTACGGACAGCTCTTGTTTCCTATGTGTTAGTATTTCGTCTTTTTTGTGATAACAAGTAAAAGCTTCAATTTTGATAAAAGCTTTCCTAAATTTTAGCTTTCATTCCTATCCTAAAATGATGATTGAATTGTAAGGAAGAAATATTTCAGGTTTTTCGTGGACGTAACCCTTTCTGTACCCACATTTTTTTTGTCAATTTAATTTTTTTTTAGAAAAAAACACATTGAGATAGTTTAACAAATGCAAGGTCTATAATACACAATAAAGAAGGTGAAGGTTAATGTTTTAACAAAACAGTCTTGGACATTGAGTCTTAAATTGTCAATTTTATCTCAGATCACATAGAATAAAACAAACAAAATAATTGAGCCGCGTCATGACAAAACCAACATAATGGGTTTGCGACCAGCATGGATCCAGACCATTTTCTACGTGATCATGATCCATGCTGTTTGCTATCAGTTTTCTTACTTGATATAGGGTTTGTAAGCGAACAGCATGGATCCTGATCCGACTGCGCGGACGCGCAGGCTGGTCTGAATCCATGCTGGTGGCAGATGCATTATGTTTGTTTTGTCGAGACGCGGCTCATATGTTATTTTTTTATTTATTACAGATAAAGAACACAGAGACAGGATTGTGTATCTTATCAGAGGATGAAGTTCCCCTCAGGAATTCGTTGCTAACATTAGGAAGCTGTGATAGAAATAAAAAATACCAGGTAATAAGTGAAAATTATTTATTACTATAAAATATTAAATAAAAAACTCAAAGCTGTTGGGATGAAAGGAGATATTGTCAACTCAAGAGCTGAGATGTTATATGCTAGTTAAAGGTTTGGTGATAGCCAGTGTCTCCCTGGCAACCATATGTTGTGTTTTTGTAGAGTTATTAGCCCCAAGATCTCCTGTGGAAACCTTCTGGCAAGGGTATTTTCATGGGATTTAACACTAATACAGGATTGGAGCAGTCTCTCTAGACGCTTGCAGAAATCATGATCACAAAATAGACAAATATCGTTGTTTTTTTTCACTGATTTTTACATTATTGATTCCGTGTCGTATATAAATTGGTGTGTAAAGATGAATTAGACATTTTTAAAGTTTATTCCCTTGGGTGAAAAGGCGAAATTTTAGCATTTAATCATACAAGCATCTTGTCCAGTATGTAGATCTCTGGAATATGGTATTCACTATGGTGCTCCAATCCTTTTTTAGTCTGACTCATTTTCATGACACCAAGGGTAATATCTCAAGGAGGGTATTCTCTACATCAGTGATATTTAATCAAGACACATTATAGGTCTCTGGGAGTTTAAACATTTTAGGATGTATTGAGGAATGATAAATTTGGCTGTAAACAGTACTGGTGGAGGAAGGCTTCAGTTGCCACTCAAGGAGACAATTCAGTTTTACCAGGCTATATGCAAATGATGTATTTTGATATTGAAATCCCTCATACTTTTAATGAAGTGTTCCCAACATTAAGGCAGAGAGAATCTATTTAACTAATTGAGCAAGTTGTTTACTACTGTAGGTATGGAATGAAACAGAAGATCAAGAACTGATGCTAGTATATAACCTCTGTCTGGATGTACACGATGATAGTGGTAAAAATCTACATGCTAAACTCGGCAAATGTGATGGTATGAAACGTACCCAAGCATGGGTATGGATTATAAAGGTAAGGCTTATCAGAATAGAGTATTTATCACATGAAGTTGACAGATGTCAGTAACAAAGAGCCATGCCCTATTTCTTTATAATAAATTTCTTTAATGATATTTGTCATGCAGTTACCAATACTATGAACTGGTTGATTGAAAACATAGACAGTGGAATGATCTACTGGTAAAGACATCAAAATAGAAATCTAAGGATTGCTAGCTCTGTGTGTGCAAATCCTGGTAGATACAAAGCGTTGTTTTCCTGAGCAAGAATCATTTCACTCATTGTTTAGTACTTTTGCTTGGTTTCAGGAACGTTTTTGTAAATGTGTGTTTAAGATTATAGCTTCCTACACAAGGGAACAAAAATAAATTCTGTACAAACTAAATAAACCCATAAAATAGGTTATAACATTCATTGTTTTAAAGTAACACATCTTTTGATTTAAGCTACATTTTATGAAAATTTGAAAAATGTTTTAAGAAGTAAATACATTTAATTTTTGGAAGATTCACTTTAATTACCTGGAGATGTGTTTTTAAAAATGGCAAGGCCAAAATGGTGATGTGTCCAGTTTCCAGTCTGATTTGATTAATAAAAGAACCTGACAGAAAATAATGGGTTAAAAGAACCTGACATTCATTGCTATTTTATTTACATGTAGTTACTTTACATGGTTGTTTTTTATTGCTCATATTTGTTTTTTTTCTTTGAATTTCAGAACTATATATACCAACTGTATAATCCAAACAGTGGAAAATGTCTGGTGCCAGTTAAAAATGCCAACAAATATTATTTAAAACTAGAAATTTGTACATTAAATAATAAATTATCAGTGTTTACCATGGAGGAAAGATAGTGTTCTTTTAAAAGTTGTGTTCAGTCTTCCGTATCATTATATTACATTACATTATATTATGTTACATTATATTACATTATATATCATTACATCATAGAACATCATGTTACATAACATTACTTTGTACAGTTCTTAATCCTTATTTATTTAAGTTGTATATTTTGTAAAGATTCGATTGATGTTGTTGAATGAAATATCAAACATTGAGGGATACATTTTATTATCAAAATATTGTGTGTGTAGATGTTAATTAGATACATTCCATGAAAGTGGTAAACATTACAAATGTTAGATTTCCTAAATTTTAGCTATATCCTCAGAGGTAATGTTTGTCTAATATCATAATGTCTACCATGCATCATGCCTCGTTCTCAGCAATTTTTTTAACCTAGAAAAGATATTTGTTACAAATATAACCCATGAGAATGTTCCTTGACTGACCAACTTCAAAACTTATATAACTGATTCTAGTGTGATGCCTAAATAGGTCATAGAAATACAAAAAAAAGTCTTTAAAAACTTCTCATAAACTGAATGAACCAGATTTGATATGTAGTATCAACTTGTAGTCCTCTACAGAAATTATTTCAATTATGCCCCTTGGACCAAAATTGGAAATGCCTTGTGGATCACTTTAGGACTTATTTGTAAAACTTTCAATGCACAGAGCTTAGATATTTGGCGTGTATTCTTAACTAGTGAACCTCCACAATTTTTATATGAATCACGCTACTTGGGTCAAAAATTGGCCTAACTTGGGAGGTTTCTTAGTTACCATAAACTGACACTTGTATGCAACTAGTAGTTAATACCATGAAAATTGTTTACATTGTTCAGAATAGAGATGTTTCATTTACATGTAGCATCATCTTGTGATCCTTTACAAAAGTTGTATAAATCATGCCCCTGGGTTAAAAATGACACTGTCTAATAAAGCCAGATACCTCTTTGTACATTGAAAATTATTATCATCTATTCTCACACTGGATCTGTGATTTTCAAGGGAAATCGTGACCCTCTTGTTTCTTCTTAAACTGTTCTGTGTTTGGTAAGATTTTTAAGTATTTGACTATATCTGAATAACTCTGTAAAAATATATGCACTCATAACATTGAGTATTTTTGTTTGTGTTTCCTCTAAAGCCATGTCCCTTAACATTAAACTTTTCAGTGATGCAAGATTGCTTCCTTTGCTCTTTGTAAGTTAGAAATTGTCAATTTCGGTTTTGAAACAAAGTAACAATGTAAGAGAAGGATGAATCTTGCTCTTGTTATGTGACTACTGATTTTGTATACATACCATTTTGTATTAAATTATATGCAAAATAAAGACGGTTGCCATAGAAAACTATTCTTTTTTGTTGTGTTTTACTTTTAGTTCACCTAAGCACACCATACTCCTGATGAGCTATAATAATTGTGATCCACCTCCGTCTATTTTTTATTTCTTAAAACAATCATTTTGTAATGAAAATTGATGTTACAAACATGGAGTATCATTATTTTAAAGCGCAACTGTGTGTCAGTGCGCACAGTTTTGTACTTTATTATTCTTTTCATTATTCTTTTTAGCTTTACTTTTAAAAAAAGAGGTATTGTTACAGTCATGTCAGAGTTGCCGTCGCAAACTTTAACCTTGATCCTAACTTATTTAGTTCTTGGGTATGTTGTCTTCGTACTTGGCCATAACAATCCTTGGGACATGACCTTCAAGTAAACCAGATTTACCTTGACCTTCAGTCATAAATGAGCTTTATTTTTGCTATATGTTGCTATAACGTTGTTATTTTTGAATGGATTGCCTTCAAACATGAAAATAATAATTTTTAGGTATTGACATTCAAGTTGACCAGACAGATCTTGATCTTGAAGATCAAATTATTGATTTTGTTCTCGCTGTAACTTGCTTTAACTTAATTTTTAATGAATGGAGTGCCTCTATATTATAACAAAACATTTTTAGGATACGACCTTCATGTACGTGAAACTCAAATTGACCTTTGCTCTTTTATGACCTTGACCTTGAAGGTTAAACTGATGTTTGCTATAATTGACTGTAACTTGGTAATTTATATTAATGGATTATCTTCAAACTTTGACAAAGCAACATTTTGGACAAGACCTTCTAAAAATTGAACTGATCTTTACCATGAGCTCTAAATGACCTTGACTGTATTTATGTATAAATTTGATATAAACTAGAGTTGCTACCAAACAAATATATTGAATAATTTAGATGTTATCGTCACCTTAAATTGACATTGACTGTCAAGGTCAAATTAATAAAATTCTCTGGTTGTTTTTATGCTCCCCGAAAAAATTTCGGGGGAGCATATAGTCGCCGCCTTGTCCGTCCGTCCGTCCTTCCGTCCGTCCGTCTTTCCGTCCGTCCGTCCGTCCGTCCGTCCGTCCGTCCGTCCCCTTTTCTTGTCCGGGACATAACTTTGAAACAACAAGAGGTATCAACATGAAACTTTGTAGGTAGATAGATCTCATTGAGTAGGTGTGCAGTGCACAAGAACCGTAACTCTGCCTTGCCTAATTTTTGAATTACCCCCCTTTGTTTATTTTACACTTTGAAATTTGTCCGGGACATAACTCTAAAAGTATAAGAGGTATCAACATGAAACTTTGTAGGTAGATAGATCTCATTGAGTAGGTGTGCAGTGCACAAGAACCGTAACTCTGCCTTGCCTAATTTGTGAATTATCCCCCTTTGTTTATTTTACACTTTGAACTTTGTCCGGGACATTACTCTAAAAGTATAAGAGGTATCAACATGAAACTTTGTAGGTAGATAGATCTCATTGAGTAGGTGTGCAGTACACAAGAACCGTAACTCTGCCTTGCCTAATTTTTGAATTATCTCCCTTTGTTTATTTTACACTTTGAACTTTGTCCTGGACATAACTCTAAAAGCATAAGAGGTATCAACATGAAACTTTGTAGGTAGATAAATCTCATTGAGTAGGTGTGCAGTGCACAAGAACCGTAACTCTGCCTTGCCTGATTTTTGAATTATCCCCCTTTGTTTATTTTACACTTTGAACTTTGTCCGGGATATTACTCTAAAAGTATAAGAGGTATCAACATGAAACTTTGTAGGTAGATAGATCTCATTGAGTAGGTGTGCAGTGCACAAGAACCGTAACTCTGCCTTGCCTGATTTTTGAATTATCCCCCTTTGTTTATTTTACACTTTGAACTTTGTCCGGGACATAACTCTAAAAGTATAAGAGGTATCAACATGAAACTTTGTAGGTAGATAGATCTCATTGAGTAGGTGTGCAGTGCACAAGAACCGTAACTCTGCCTTGTCTTATTTTTGAATTATCCCCCTTTGTTTATTTTACACTTTGAACTTTGTCCGGGACATAACTCTAAAAGTAAAAGAGGTATCAACATGAAACTTTGTAGGTAGATAGATCTCATTGAGTAGGTGTGCAGTGAACAAGAACCTTAACTCTGCCTTGCCTAATTTTTTAATTATCCCCCTTTGTTTATTTTTACACTTTGAACTTGTTCCAGGACATAACTCTTAATGTATAAGAGATATCAACATGAAACTTTGTCGGTAGATAGATCTCATTGAGTAAGTTTGCAGTGCACAAGAACTGTAACACTGTCTTGCCTACTTTTGGAGTTATTGCCCTTTGTTCATTTTGAAACTTTGAACTTTGTCTGGGACATTACTCTAAAATTATAAGAGATATCAACATGAATCTTTGTAGATAGATAGGTCTCATTGGGTGAAAGTGCAGTGCTTAAGAATCATTACTCTGCCTTGCCTTATTTTGAAGTAATTGCCCTTTGTTTATTTTTACTTTTTGACTTTTGACCTGGACATTACTTTAAAACTATTAGAGATATCAACATGAAACTTTATAGGTAGCTAGATATATTTTGATAGAACTGCAATGCTTAAAGAACCTAAACAAAGCCTGGTCTAATTTTGGAGTTATTGCCCTTTGTTCATTTTTACACTTTGACTTTTACCCTGGACATAACTCTGATATCATCAGGAAACTTTTTAGATAGATAGATCTCATTGAATAGAAGTGCAGTGCAAAAAAACATAACTCTGCTTTGCCTAAATAATGAGTTTTTGCCCTTTGTTCATTTTTTTTATACTTTCCTGTGTCCAGAACCTTCTCGGGGAGCATCACCCGGTTCAACCGGTTCTTGTTTTGTAACTGGCTATAACTTTGTTATTTATAAATAGATTAACTTCATATTTAGACTCGACATCATTTAGGTCAGGACCTTCATGTACTAGTATATCAAACCCGAATTGACCTTGACTCATGTATGACCTTGACCTTGAAGGTCAAATAATTTAATTTTCACTGATTATTGCTATAATTGGCATTAACTTGATAATTATTCAATTGATTATTTTCATACTTGGACAAAACAACCTTTTTTGATAAGACCTTTTAAAATGTTGAACTGGCCTTTATCTTACGCTTTAAATGACATTGACCAACAGCGTTAAAGTATTGAATTTCGGTTAAGTTGTGATTTTTTTGTTATCTATGTACGATTTAATTCGTACATGGACAAAACAACACATGTGACCAAGCAGACATGTTGAAAAATTTAGATATGACCTTGACCTTTAAATGGCATTGACTGTCAAATGATTGAATTTTGAGTATATTATCTTAACTTTGTCATTTATTTATGGAAATGATTCATACTTGGACAAAACAGCAAGTAACTTTGTCATTTATTTATGAAAATGAATGATACTTGGACAAAACAGCAAGTGTGACTAGACAGACCCATTACAACTTAAAAAGGAAAAAAACTTAACTTTTTCTTTAATTTTCTTTTTAAAGATCTGTTTAAACCAATTATTTGTTTGCTATTAGAAAAAGTAATATAAATCGAACGTCCCCCCCCCCGCCCGACCGGCGGTGGCTCTTGTTATCCTTATTATGCTCCGAGTGACGGGCTGAGCTGTTCGTATGGATGGATGTTGGGCGTCTGTTTTCTGTGTGTTAACTTGGGCTACATATTCCTTTACAAATTTGTCAGGATTTTTGTATATACTGGTTTTGTTATGTCAAAATCTAGGTCACGCATGTCAAAGTTGGAAAAAAATCTGAACAGGTTGAAGGCTACATTTGCTATTCAATTATTATTTAACGTTGTTACTTTGACTTTCTTTCAAATATGGGTTATATGTGGTCAAAATATTATGTCACTAGGTCAAATCTTAAATCCTATCAGATCATATATTTAATTTAATCATTGTGAATATGTGTCCGAATTTTTGTCATGATGAGTATTAAATTCTGTTTGTACATATATGTCAGTAGGTCATGTTTTGGCAAAATTCTAGGTCACTAGGCCATATTCTAGAGGAAAAAAACGCTTGTGTTCTATTAGTCATTAGATTTTTTTTCCAGAAAAAGAATCGTCTTTTTGATAAATGGTTCATTATCAATCCCAAAGCAGGTATATACTTCCCATACAAAGAGCACTTTGTGGTTAAAGATGAAATAGTTTGCTTGAAGAAAGAACCTTGTTTGCTTGATGCATAAATAATTACTTAATACAATATGTGTAACAAAGAGACATAATTTTATAAGATGAACAAAAAGATACAGTCAAAACACTATCAAAGTTCATGTGGAATGCCATTTTTGTGTTAGGTTCTACATCGCCCAGTCATAGCCAATGTCACTAGTTATCTTAACAGATAAAAACCTAACATTAACATTTAAAAGTCATGGGTATAAAGCTACATCTTATAAAATATTTTATAAATTTATCGACAGTAACAATAAATTTTTCTATAATCTTATGATCGATTCTTAAAAGAGTTGTGCCATTAAATGTCAGTTTTATTTAACTCACGTGATAACATCAGTGACCTTGACCTTTAAGGTCAAATATTTGAATTTTGCTAGATTTTGCTAAAAATGAGCAATTTTGTAATTTATGAATGGCTTGTCCTCAAAGAAGGACACCAAGAGATTCAAGAAGACCAAATTGACCACATGACCGTACCTGATCAATGCATTCGACCTTGAAGGTAGACTTATTCAATTTTGCTCGAGCTTTGCTATACATGACTATAACTTTGTTACTTATTTATGGATCTAATTCATTCTTGGACAAAATAACTCTTGTAGCAAAACTGACATGACGATTAATCTTGATACGGCCGTGATCTTTAAATGACATTGGCCTTGGCCGCCAATGTCTAATTATTGAATGAAGCTTAAATTGTCTTAACTTTGTCTTTAGTTATAAAAGACTGGATCCATACTGGGACAAAACAACACTTATGACAACACTTACATGCTGGGTAGGTAAAGTATGACCTTAATCTGTAATAGACCTTGATTGATACTTTATGAACTTTTTTTAATTATTTTTCTACAAGAAAATACTTCTTTGTATTTCGTAGTCATTGAGCGACTTTCTTCGAGTTTTACTTCAAATGCCCCATCCTGAAATAATTATAGGCAAGAGTGGAGTAGAAATAATGGCCACCCGTAAATGACTACAATTACACCAACAGTGTATCAAGATGCTTAAGGATCTAACAACAGCTATGTTACTCTTCTCTATAAAACCCAACACAATCTTGTGAGGTTTGTCCATCACCATCTGACACCCACAAGAGCTACCTGATGCCATACTCAAGGACACTGCACCACTTCCTATACATTTTCCCAGAAGTATTTGTCTGTGGAATAGTCTACAGGAGTCCTTCCTTACAAGCGAGTCCAAGTTAAGATCTCTACTGGGCAGCTGCATCCTTTCAACCAGTTTAAGTCAGTGTTGACAACATGAAGTAAATAGATATAAATCGAGGCACCAATCAATTTATATCTACATGAAAAGATATTCGATACAATATCTAGTAAAATGTTATAATGTCATAAGAACAATGAACGAAAATCAATTTTATATATTTGTTTTAGATCGTTGTATAGCATTATACACTTTTTACTAAATATGTGTGATTTTAATTGAAATAAGAAGATGATCAAAATGAACAAAAAAAAACAACAACATTTATATAGGGATGCTTCTCACCAGTACGGAAAATAACAACAAATATTTAATTATTTTATCAATTCTATTCAGTCACTTAATAAACAATAACTTTGGACAAATTCGCAAAATATTCTCTATTTTTTTTAAACATATGGTTTCCATTTATTCTTTACAAATAATGATATGCGGACAGTTTTGAATAATAAACAAAAAGAACATTCAAAGAGAGATTGGAATTCGTCACCAATATCTATGTTACATTTAGTACAGCTTCTACAAGGAGTCTCAGGTTTCTTGTTCGAAAGTTAACTATATATTACTTAATAATTTAGTGGTGCATTTTCAAAGTATTCTCAAATTCAATTTTTGTTTAAAAAATGTAATTGACACAATTGCTTGAATTTTCTGTATTTGAGTATCAATCATTCAAGAAAAGATCAGACAATTTTTGATGCATAAATTGGCATTCTGTCTTCTGCTCTGAGAGATCTGGGTACAGAAATATTATAGTCTATTTTTGAATCACATTTCAATTTATTTTTGATTACTGTTTTATCAAATTTGATTTAGATTTCAGTTGTCTTATCTTGATTTGTATTTTTTTAAATTTCAATAGTTTTAACCTTTCTCTATATTTTATTTTCAATCTTAGATTATTCTTCATGTACATGTTTTGTATGATCGACTAAATTTTAGACTTTTAGATTAATCATTGGGTATTTTATATTTTGTAAATGTATACATATATGTGTGTTATTATTTTTATTACTTTTTGTTTGTTTTTTTAAAGTCATTGTAAATGTATATAATTCCATTGTAAAGCGCCTTTGAACATTTTATTTTTGAGAAGGGCGATATAAAAACGTGGTAATTATTAAGAAAATATTTCTTCGTTTGCGTGAAATATGGAATATATTTTCACGAAACATGATAAGATGCCACATATTTTCACGAGCCGGGACGGCGAGTGAAAATATGTTGCATTACATCATATTGAGTAAAAATATATACCATATTTCACGAAAAAACGATAAAATATAAACTTTTTAATTAATTTCATTATCAAAGAATAATGGTCACGAATTCCCTTGCTTGCTACGCAACTGCAGTTGTACAGCATGCAGTAATATATTTCTTTTTTATATTGCACGCGATGTTTGGCGCTACATTGTGGCGTCACTTAAACAACTCTTTAAACGTCTGTACAGAGTTAATGACTGAATTAAAGATATTGGTGTTCTGATTTATTTTCTTAGTTAGACCATTTTCTATCATTCTAGATAGTTTTCAGTGATTTTCTATCATTCTTGATAGTTTTAAACATGATAAAATACCACATATTTTCACTCGCCTTCCCGGCTCGTGAAAATATGTGGCATTTTATCATGTTTCGTGAAAATATAATCCATATTTCACTCAAACGAAAAAATATCCTCTTCTAATAAAAACCGTTGACTAATTGTTTGGAATTTCATTGTGAATGCAAATTACTTTTAAAGAGGATAGGTCTATAATGGGAACATTTCCAATCAGTATTTCAAATATTGATAGAAGGATGCATTGTAGTTGAAAATTACAAAACATCATTAATAATAATACATCTAAATATTAAATCATGTCTACCGGGTATTGGGAAAGGGAAGGGAACAATCCATTAATTTTATTGCATACCGGTAAGTGATTCTGATAATGTATTGATACATGTCAATATGTTAGATAGTCGCCTGGTATACCCGTCATCTATATAGTAAATAAAAAAGATGCGACGTCAACAACGTTATCGTGAACAACGTTATGCCATAAGCAATGACATGCACCGCGCAGACCACAGTGACCCTTTTGTTTTGTATGTAGTTTTTCTGTGACTATTTTTTCTAATGTTTTGTAAGAATAAACTGAAATGTGCCAATTCATGATGGTGTATTTTGTATATTATAGATAAGTGTACTTTATAGACTGAAATAAATAACTTTTACATCAAAAGTCTATGTTATTTTGGATCATTCCTCGTATATGCTCAACTTTGAGTTTACAGTTTATCGGAGCTTTAGGTTTAATATTTTGTTCTGCTAAACATAGTTGCATTATTATAGATGTGACAAAAATCGCTTACATCCTTTTGAAGGCATATCCAATTGATGTGTTTTTACAAGTACGTTAAATAAGTCGATGTTACTGCTACTTTGATGTAGCATAAAAAATAATAATAAAGCGTGACGTTTTTCCTAATGATCGATTCAGGCCATAACATACATCCTATGAATGGGCTTATGAATATTTAAAATATAATATGGGAACGCCAGTGGGTTAGAAACAAAACTGCTAATTGTGTATGTTTTTTTTCAGTCATGCCTATCGAGGATAACTAACTAACTAACTAAGGATAACAAATATACGAGCGAACTTATTACGTTGAGATAAAACTTTTACAAGAATCTAAGAATAATCTGATCTTGATAAAACTTGATGATGTTCTTATATAGAATCAACTTACCTTTTGTTGCATTTTCCATTATTAAATATGAACAGACTCAATCAATCTGAGTCTAAACTTTTAACACTTAAACTTTATTTTCGTTCCTCTTGAGAGACCTTCCTTTTTTCAAGTCATTTCATAGAGTCAAGTTTTATATAATGTCCTTCTTTATATTTATTTATTATGCATTTATAAAGAGTAAACATGTTTTTAAAGCGGTTCAATATGTCGTTGTTTACCTTAAATTACACTATATATATATAAATTGAGAGAAAATAGACGTTCATACAGTGCTGAAGTAAAAATACCCAAGTACTTTCGGCGAAATATGCCTTCATCAGGGGTGTATTACAAGAATTTCAAGAGTTTATTTCAAAGTACATTCGGGCAATATGCCCATGTGTACACAGTACGTATAACAAATAAGCAAGCATACAATACAGTCAAATGGTCAAAGTCAATATCATATAAAACATATATCATGAAGTTACAGAGTCTTAACGTTCATTAAAATGGCATATACTATCACTTAGTGATACAAGTGTCAACATGTTTCGTATTATATTGCTCGTAAATAAATACTAAAGACAGTTGCCATCCTATCAATAAATGAGTAAATCACAAAAAAATGTATACAAGAAACAGTGATACAGCGTTTGGGCAAACTTTTGATTAACTTTTAAGAATAGCGTTTCGAAGATCGAAAGCTTTAAATATATACATTTCTAATTCACTTCGTTTCTAAAGTTTCTAATTTTTATTTCATTTTCTGAATTCATCAATGCAACAAATTAAGGCATATTTGGTCTTTTCCAAAAGTGTTTTTTTATATATGTTTTTTGTAATTGATCATAAAGCGAACATGATAAAATGAAACGAAATTCATCTTCTAAAATTGGATAATTTTTACATTTCCAGTTATCATAAGGTATAGCACTAGGTTTATTCCACCGACCAGTTTCAATCTCAAGTATATGTGAAGAAACTCTAAGCCGGGACAGTGCAATTCTAATTTTTTCGATATTAATACAGTTTTTTTGAAATCTGCAAATAATACTTACTTACGAGCTATAGTTGAGTAATTTATTTCTGAAAATCAGCTTCGGTAAGGTGTACCTTGGAATGGAATGCATGGTTAGACTAGCTGACTTAAAATTAAATCTGGCACCAGAATTGAAATTGAAACTTTATAAGTCGTTAACATGACAATTATTTAATTGTGGATTATCAAACATGTCCCAAATAATCCACATTGTTGTGCATAAGATATCTTTCTTGTCATTTGCTTTACTTGCGAATCTGTACGTTGATCTTACACCAGTTTACAAAAGACATTTGCTTTACTTCGACTACAGTATTTAATCGTTTCACTGTAACCACAACCAGGGCTGTAGTTTTGCACAACCAAGCCGTTGGAACCATTTGACATCCAGCTACAAGCACAAAATGCATACCCCATGGATCGTGCTTGTATTACTTCTGTCGGGGAGGCAATAGTTGTTCCATAATCAATGCATTGTTGTATAGCTTGTTCAAAAGTCATACCGTAACGCCCATATTGACCAGTCGCGTGAAAAACTGAAAATATATTGATAAAGTGCAATATAAATTTGAAATACAGAAGCAATATTTTTAGCTCGAAAGAAAAATAAAAGAAAAGAAAAACAAGAATCTGTGTTTGATAAACACAAATGCCCCCGCGCACTGTTGTCAATAATTTAACTTCAGAGAGTGAAGTAGCTAATTTGTATGGAAGAAAACCAATCATGTGTAGAAATCTGTAATTGGCACCCTTGACCTTGACCAACTGACCCCTACTTCTATCAAAAGGAAGAATATCATGCAAGTTATTTTCCTACCAAATATGAAATAAATCTGTCAATAAATAAAGGCTGTATGGGCAAAAGTGTAAAAAAATCTATTTTTAGCACTGTTGACCTTGACCCAACTGACCCCTTACTAAAGGAAAAGGAAGATGACCTCCTTGGGATGACTGTTATAAACATGAAAGACATTAACTTAAAAATAAAGGCGGTATGAGCAGAAATGTTTAGATTTATTTTTTTACACAAGTGACCTTGACCATAACCTAGAGACGCCTATCGCCATAAAAAATTAGAGGACCGTTTAAGGTATCCACCTACCAAATATGAAAGATATCATTAAATAAATTAAGTAATTAGGTGAATTTTTTTGATAAATCCAACTTGGCGGAATAGGTTAACCATACAAGGCCCTATTTTCAAAGTGATAAAAAGGGAAATTACTGGGAAAATGGATGGCACATTTATATAACTTGGCAATATCATGTACATTGTATTGATAAGTAAGTGTGAAAATTATTAAGCCATTAGTTCAGATAGAACATAAGATATTTCCAACTTGCCGGTTAAGGTTAACCATTATTCATTTTCTAAGTGCTGAAAAGGGCCATAACTTGGTGCGAATGGAAGCCATAGTTATGTAACTTGCCCAGATCATATACTTTGTATGGATAAGTAAGTGTATAAATTATGAAGCCATTGGTACAGGTAGAACTTAAGAAAAATCCAACTTGCCGTTCTAGGTTAACCTCGTACGGACAGACGGACAGACGGACGAGTCACTTAAATGGACTAAAGGGCTATTTCTTTTTTTTTCTTTTGTTTAATAAGGGGCAATGGCCGCTTATTTTATTGTTACGGAATGAACTCTATTGTTTTCTTTTGTTCTGTTTACTGTTAGATGGCCCCTTACCCTATTTGGTTGCTCGGACAGACGGACGTTCCAACATTTTGGCTTTAGGGGCTATTTTCTTTGTTATTTTCTTTGTTTTCTTAAGGGCTACTAGCCCCTAAACCCTTTAATCACGGAATGAACCTATTGTTCTTTTACTGTTATATAGCCCCTAAACCCAAAATATTTGCTCGAACAGACGGACGGACGGACGGTTCAAATACTATATGCCTGGGGGCATAAAAAGAGTTATTGCTCTAGGCAAAGTATCGTTAACGTTGCCGATGTTGTTGCCGTCTGGAAACTGTCCTGCTAGGCTCCTTGCCCGTGGTCCTTTGTTGCTGGATTGTATAGGGTTGCGTTCATTGAAGGTCACCCTTCCTTGTTGATCTTGTTTTTCATATTTTTTTATTTGTCACTGGATTGCCTTCATACTTGAACACAACAATCTTTTGGACAAGACCTGCAAGTTCACCAGACTGAAAATGGCAATCGCTCTTAAGCGCAACTACCTTCAGGACAATGTCATCAAGAAGATCAAATTCAATATGACCTTGACTCATAAATTACCTTGACCTTGAAGGCCAAATGATTGTTATTCCACACAGTGGTTTTTTTTAATTGGCTATAACTTTGTTTATTATTTATGGATTGTCTTAATACTTCAACACGGCAATCCTTGGTAAAAGAAATTATAGAAAATTCAACGGAACTTGACATTCATCTTAGTTTGACCTTAACACTAAAGGTCAAATAAGTGAGTGTCTCAACAATGGGCCACATGTTCGTTATTTACTTATGAATTTGATTTATACTTGGGCAAGCAAAGACTATAATAAAACACTTTAGTACAAATATGAACTTGGCCTATAAATGACATTGGCCATCAAGGTCAAATATTGAATTAAGCTTAGATTATCATAACATTGTTTTTGTTGTTTTGATAATTCAAATATGACCTTGTCCTTTATTTGACATCGACCCTCAAGGCTAACTTACTTGGCAATTTACTCATTTTTTTAAATCTTATTCTCATTTTTTAAATCTTATTTCAATATCAAGTTGAGCTAAATTAGTTGTGTATTTCAAAACATTGACTATAATACTGGCGACTTACAATAAACAACAATTAGAGATGTTTAGGATAAAACTGCCTTAAATAAAAAAAAATATTTATAGAACTTTATATGGTCACGGGGTTCTTGATTATTTAGGTAACATTTATTCTAAAATTTAAAGTGAATGTGACAAAATGTTAAATTATTTCAAATTTTATGTGAAACCTCTCTATATCCTCATGGAAGGATATAATGTCATTTTAATTTAATCGTCATAGCATTATTATTTATTCACGAATTTTATTTAAAAGTGACAAATAACACATATGACAAAACCGACATGTTGAATTACCCTGGTATGACATTGGCCTTTAATTGACTTTGACCTGTTCTATGAATTCGACCAACAAAGTCAAGTTATTAAAAATTGCTTAAATTGTCACATTTTGGTTTTCATGTACAAATTTGATTTAAACTAGTGCAAAAGAACCTTATGACAAAACTTGCATGTTGAATGATATTAAATTTTCCTTGCCCTTCAAGGTAAAAATATTGGAATTTGCTAAAATTGTCAAATTTTGATTTAGACTTTGACAAAAAGCCGATATTTTAAATGGCCTTCACCTTTAAATGACCTTGGTCATCAAGGTCAAATTATTGAAATTTGCTTCAATTATCATAGTTTTGTTATTTACCTATAGATTATATTCATTCTTGAAAAAAAAAGAACACAAAGATGCATTTAAACATTGCTGACAATAATATATTCTTTATAATTTTTAAAGACACAGCAGCCACGTTTTAAAGCTTGTTTGTGCAATAAAAGAAATATCTTTTGCAATTTAGAATTGATATCTTCAGTTACTTTTCAAAATAAGTATATGTGAAATATTTCATATTACCTATGGCAGCTCTAAGTATTACAGTTCCAAAAATATGTAATATTGGCTTTAAAAAATGTTATAATTTCCTAAAGGAATGTCTTTGTTTGGTTGTTAAAATGTCAAGGATGAGAAAAGTTTAATTTGTTACCTGGATATCTCATTTTTGTCATTGTAGTCCATCCGTCAGCAAATATCAACGACGTGGGAGTACCAGGTATCTCTGAACTGTCATTAATTGTATCGTTCGACGACAACAGACAATTTTCTGTTGGTGATTTAAATGACACCGTAATACAATCTTGCTGCATGCGACAATATATCAAACAATTCGCAAGACTGCTGGAACTGATTTCGTCAGATATATGCCCAACTTTGAGTTTATAGTTTATCCGAGCTTTATGTTGGATATTTTGTTCCGCTAAACATAGTTGCAGTATTATATATGTTACAAAAAATCGCTTACATCCTTTTGGAGACATATCCAATTAATATGTTTTTAACAAATACGTTTTGAATAGGTCGATGTTGCTACAACCGGGATATGATATATACTTAATTAAAAAAACGTGTTGTTTTGTTAATGATCAACAAATCATAATAGGCATCTTTATGAATATTTAAAGCATAACTTCAAACGCCAGTGAATTGGAAATAAATGCATTATTTTTAATATGTTTTATGTCATGCTTATCGAGGAAAGGTAACAAAGAAACGGGCTTGTCAATATATGCCGTCTCTATGTTAGAAAATCAAGTAAAATCTCACTAAATGCATCAACGTATTGTAAAATTATATTTCAATTTACTAATAGTCATTTCCATTAATGGCACGGGATAGTATATAAGGGCAAAGAGCGAAAGCAAAATATAACAGTTTGCTATTAAAGTCTGAACACTTCAATTTTCTTCTTTTAAAACTTTATCCGTCATACCAGCAAATGCCATTTACTACTGCACTTCACGGTGGCCTATCACGTGGTTTATGAAATAGGATGGTCTGCAAAACGGAAAATGTTGAAGGCTCGGTTTGACTGAGCCTGCTCATTGGCGGTAGTAGTAATTACAAGCTACTGTCCGAGCCCACCACAACACCGGTTTAAGCAGAATTCAACATCTTACATGAACTTGTAAAAATTTTGAATTTAAAAATAACCGCCGATGAGTTTGTATGGCGGTTATCATGGAACTTTCAACATGGCAAGTTAGTGCCATTTCACGGAAAGTGGCATATGGTCCCCAAGAAAACTGCTTAGCAAATATCTGGAAAAATGTTATTCCTTGGAAGCATTAGAAACAACAAAATTACATGAAAGTTGCAAACTCGGTTTGATTGAGTCTGTACATGAGAAAGTGCAACATCCCTCACGTCCCCTAAAGATATAATTATGTTGATATAAGGACTTACTACAGGTAGGTGTTTTTTTACAGGAATTCTTCTGATGAAAGTATTCATGTAAATTACCCTCAATTTTGCCACTGTTTACAATTTTGTCTGATTGCAATAGCAATGCAACGACGATACCAAACCAACCGATAGGCAACCGTGTACTGTTTAAGCATAAATTATAGTTCCTTGAACGCCATCTTTCCTTGTTGATCTTGTTTACTATATTTCCTGTTGAAAACTGTTGGTCGCCAGTGTTTTTCGTATAAAAATAAAGATGTTTTTCACACGGAAAACATGTTAATGCTAAATGATATCAACCTTAAATTTTATTCAAAACAATAAAATGCAATAACAAGAGATATCGGAGGACGGTTACGCTCGACTATTCAAAAAGTTGTCACAAGGGTGTTTCATTGAGTATAATAATACTTACCTATATGAAAAAATAATATTGTCCGAAAAGGTACAAAGGCTTGTTATTAAGATGTTTTATCGAGTAAATCACTTCTTTATTATTATGAATGCATAAAATTGTCCAAAAAAGGCACAAACCCTTCAGTAATTATGGAGATACCAGCTTACAAGCAAAACCTTTACCAAGAATTTCCAAGTCCAAAAAGGGGTATAATTATGAAACAAACAAATCAAGAGTAATGGGACTTGTGTCAATCGTGTAAGATAATCACAGAGAACAAGTTTGTGAAGTTTCAATCCATTCCCTTTTGTAGTTATGGAGATACCAGCTTACACACAAAAACTTAACCAAGAATTTCTAAGTCGAAAAAGAGGCATAATTATGCAAAAAAGCAAATCAGAATTATGAGACTTGTGCCAATCATGTTAGATAATCACGAAGAACAAGTATGTTAAGTTTCAATCCATTCCTTTCAGTAGTTATGGAGATACCAGCTTACACGCAAAAACTCAACCACAGGGACGCCGACGCCGGCCAATGGGTGACTGCATTAGCTCGATTATTCTGCGAATAACTAGCTAAACAATTTCAATTTCAACACTATAAGCGGTCGGCAATAATACCGAAGAAACAGAAGAAAGTAATACACGTATAACACTACGGAGATGAAGTACGTTTTAACATTTTACGACTGCCATAACATAGTCTTAAAGATTGGTCACCATTGAGGCATAATTACTAACTACTTTGAGGCGTACATTAATAGATGTGTTGACATTGTAATACTTATACACAAACACACCCTTTCCCAATGCTGTAGAACTCTTTCTTCATTTATAGCACATTAATATCAATTCATAAATGCTTACACAGTTAAAATCATAACATTGATAAGTATAATTGGGTATATGATACTCAGGGTTTGCCAGGATAGCTGCCAGTGGCAGAGTTTTGACTGATCGTGAAAACTTATGACATTTCGTATTTATCATTAACGGCTCTGATGCAATAAATGCATGAATACAAACTATATATTTAAGGGACGATACACCCTTTTTAATGTTTTATGATATAAATGGAGACTCTTTCTATTAGGAAATGCAAATTTACAGTTCGAATTTGCTACTCCTTTCATTATCTGTTTACATCAATATTGTCAATAATTCTTATGTAAAAGCATACTATTTATAATATTTAACTAGCTAAACAATTACTCACTGATCTTTTCAGCGTAACAGCGTATTGAAAGAGTATTCTCTTTGTGATAGTAGAGACCCTGGTTCGAATCCTTGAAGAAGCATTTTTTTTCTTTTTTCTTTGTTTTTAGATCTTTTTACAAAGAACTACATTTCAGTTCTCATAAATATCATTCACACAATGCAATTTGAGAACTTTTAGTTTTACACACGTTCTTATTCAACAGGTTTACCTACAGACAACACAGCCGTGATTATGGTGATACATGAACAATTAATGAAAGAAAAAACATACAATGTGTAAAAAAATGAGATAAAATTTTGTAAAAAATCTTCCGATTATTAATCAGTTTCAGGTCAATATTGCCAAGTAATTCTCTGGTGCAGAACGTTAAGGTATAAAATACTAAATTAAAGGGACATCATGGGACAACTAAGTAAGGGTATTTTATTGGGAATCGGCGTGGACTGTTCAGATTTATTGTGTTTCGATGTATGAGTCGTATGGCTAGCCCTTGGCGCCAAATTGGACGTTCGGCAATAGCGTTAGTTGTGCTAAGATGCCCAGTGATTTGTAAGTTCCTAACGCGGGGAATTTCAATATATTGGCTGTTCGGCGTTATCTTAGGTCACGGAATTGAACATTTAAGTATTGACAGTTTTACTTAAGTTTCTTGGTTTATCAATATAAATCTTTGAGTTAAGTTATGCATACAGCTAACGGGAGCTGATATTGACTGCTAGATTTAGATCTATATTTTCTTGAGTGGACTTCAAGATGGAGTGAATGTCACTAATATTTCTAGTTAGATTGAGTAGGAAGAAAAAAGAATACTAACGCAATCATACAAATAACACAAATACATTCTATAGAAGTGCTATAGCTTAATTCCATTTAATATTCATGCCATGATTATAACGCAATTCTTTTATCACAAAATATGGTGTCTGACAAATGGAGCTTGAAATTAGATCTGTTCAGTTATGTCAAAATATGTTTTATTTTGTAAGGTAAATACGTGTGAATAATTAAAAATAAGTCCAACAAAAAGCAATTAAAGCATTCCTGGTGATACATTGTCATTGACATCCATCGAGACTAATTATTTTGCTTGATAAACCAAGCGTTAAATTAAATTTCAAAGCACAGAAGTTCAATACCACAAACCATTTATTTCCAGGAAACAATAATTCTAAAACAATTCAATTAAATTATTTTATTAGCATATAAACATAAACATGTTCATCGCCATACATTCAATTGCGGCGGTTACATACAACATGAGAAGAGCATGAGTATTAATACATCTATATCATGTGTATATTAGTAGTATTATTATATCAACATATATTAACATTAATATATCAATATCATGTGTATATAGTAGTATCATTATATCGACATATATCCCACACAATGTTTATATAAAACATAAACAGTAACGAAAAAAACACAAGACCAAAAAATACCAAAAATAACATGAAAAGTGATTTGATACACTGACCTAAATTATCGTGTTGATTGTCGATGGGTGGATACTTTACTGTCATATGCATGATATACGTACATGTTAGTTTGATTTTGCACGTGAATTCAGTGCCATATAATGTTGTCATTTTTTTTTCTTGTTATAAAAAGGCCAATGTATGAGATCAATTAGTTTCACGTGGCTACATTGTAAAATACAAATACATGATCATTGAAAATATGTAACTAACACATATTTCTAAATAAAGTATATCATCCGGTACGTTTCTTATTTGCTATATAAATAAATTTTGCAAGTTTACACAGAATACTTGTTTGATTTGAAGCTAACAATCCTTTAAATTTTTGTAAAGATGGCCAATTACAATAATATTTTGGAAGGCATTCTTTTCTTTCATCTCTATAAAACGGACAGACCAATACAAAGTGATATTCATCTTCTACTATCTTCATATTACAATACACACATTTTCTATTACAACGTTCTATATTTCGAAATCTACCTTCCTCAATAGCTAATTTATGTGCTGAACAGCGTAATCTTGATAGAGCAATACGATGATTATTATTAACAACACAAGATAAATACTTTTCCTGACATATTTTTGTTATAATTTTCTTATATGTACTTAGTTTAGGCATATTATCTAACTTACTATAAAAAAACTTGATAATATTGATCATATAATCTCTCAACAACTTTATCTATTTGAACTCTAGTGACCGACATATCATTCCATAAATAACTAAAACCTAGTTCGTCAAGCAGATTTTTCACACCCGAAGCCCAAGATCCCAATGTATTAGTATTAACTTGATTGATGAAACATTTATATATCAAGGTATCTTGGGAGTTCAAAATTCTATACCAATATTTCAATATTCTCCCTTTACGAACAACATCTAATGGAACTTTACCCAGTTCACCAAGAACAGCTATATTTGTAGTTTGAGACCTTACACATAATAATTGTTTACAAAATTTAATATATACCCTCTCAATATCAAGGGCCTTATGAAATCCCCATATTTCGCATCCATAATTTA